ATGCCAGAGCTCACATACTTTCCAGAAAGGAAAAAAGATTATTATGAGTTTCTTGTCAGAATCAAAGTTTCAATGGATTACTCTTCAAATGTAGGGAACCTAATTTTATTGAGGGACCTTAAAATCTCAAGATAGTCATGTTCTAATGAAAAATTTTATTCTAGTAGCTATACATGTTATTTTACTTGAGCATGCTTCTTAAGGTTATGACAGTATACAAGCAACAATCATAATACCTTGTTTCTTCTTTAAGGCTCTTTGTAGTAAAATAATTGATCCCACAAAGTTGTTAAGGTTGCAAAGACAAGTTGTAAAAATATTGTGTGAGTTTGAGATATATTTTCATCATACATTCTTTAACATTATAGTCCACCCAACCATTTACTTGGCTAGAAAGATATAATTGTGTGACCCCACTTACTTAAGATGGATATATCACATTGAGTGTTACATGAAAGTATTAAAAAGGTATGTGAAAAATCAAAGTCAACTAGAGGGATGCATTGTTGAATGGTATTTTAAAGAAGAAACTATTGACTTTTGTACCCAATACTTAAAGAATGTTAGGGACGATGGGCTTCCAAAGGACTGTCATGATGGTGAAAGGATTAAGGGAGAAAAAGTTCATTACTATCTTCAATGACCAATGGAAAAAAAAACACATCTATATATACTTTAAAACTCTCCAAAAGTCAATGAGTATGAAAAGAAACACATCTTAGGAGCCATAACCCTAATAGAGGAGAAAAATGGATTACTAAAATGCACAATAAACAATTTATCAATTGGTTGAAAGAACATGTTAATGATATGTATCAATTAGCCAACTAAGCTAGTTCTTTCTTACACTAGTTATATCACCAATGGATATACATTTTATATGAAAGAGTATGATGATCAAAGCACAGCATAAAATAATGGTGTAACTTTAATAGCTAAGTCCATACACATTTCAAGTGCCAAGAAAAAAAAATCAATCTATGCAAAAATGTCATACTTCAAGGTAATTGAGCACATTTTAGAGTTGGATTACATCATTTTTAGAATTCTAATTTTTGGGTGCAAGTGGACTAATAATAAAAATGGTTTTGAATGTTGATGATTTTGAGTTGATTATGGTGAATTTCAATAAGGAAGGGTATAAAAGTGATCCTTTTATTTTTGTAACTGAATCTAAACAATTTTTGTCCCTAATCCTACAAATAAGGAATGGTCTATTATTTTGCTTAGCAACAAAGGAATTGATGAGGAAACTAGTGGAGAAATGCTAGAAAATGAAGACAACAAAATAAATGACAAAGTTGAAAATGATCCATTTCATGGGACTACATTTAATAGTTATGAAGATTTTGGTATTGAAGATGATAATTTATACATAAGACATGATCATAATGAGAGTATTTGGATATCAAAGAAGGGAAATCAATTCAATTAAAGAAGATTGTTATGAAAATTGTTGAGAAAAAAGTTTTGACAAAGAAATGAAAAAGAACAACTATGAACATATGAATAACTTTTGTTTGAATTATTTTTGTTTATTTAATTATTTTGTTTGATTAATTATTTTTATTTGACTAATTATTTTTGTTTGATTTTTACAAGTAATTAATTGGCTACAAGAAGTAATAATTACATTCCTGATAGTGGATCTCAAAGTGATCTGAGTTTGACTCTAAAGATTGGCACTGCCACTACTAGTGATTCCTACTAGCATGTGGATTGGGGTAAAGAGGAGAAATTAAGGAGGCATTTGGTTGTGATGGATATGGTATCAAAGTCTAGAGCTCTTGGGAGAAAGCTTCTTACTAAGTGGAATGTCAAATTCCGTGCATTGATTTTGATAATTTGGTTAGCTATACTGGAGTGGTGGTTGAAGTTCATAACCCCCTCGATATGGCGAATTAGAAAAAGGCACCTAATTCATTAAAGGACACAGTCTATAGCACAATCTCCAAAAGCCCTTCAAGGATAATAAGGAGAAGGGCAAGAAAAGGAAGGATTTTGTCACACAACCTACACCTCCCTCTCTACCAAATAGTACACTTGCACTTGCCCCAAAGGCCTCCCCCAAAGATTACCCCAATCCTTACTCTAAAGCTTAAGTCAAAGGTTACTCTTAGGGCCCCTTTTAAATCTCAAGCACCCCCTCTGACAAGAATCAAGAGATGCTAAGACATTATGTGGCTAACATCGAGGGTGTGATGATCACTTTTGAGCCAAGGGATTATGACACTATTAACACTTGAGATAACATCAATAAAGATATTGTGAAGATGTTATCACCCATAAGGAGGTGACCATGAGTCTTTGTAATCATTTTATGAGGTACATTTATTAATCAACCATATATCTTGAATAATTTACTTTTGTTTAACAGATTTTATTGATTGTTATAGTATTTTAATATATAAGGTACCTGTACACATCCTTCATAGAACCTAGAGGATATTACCTCACCCCAAGGAAGGGCGTAATGGACAAGGAGCAATGAGAAAGCATATCATAGGACATTACTAATTATTTAAGGCAATGTGCATCCGGGAAGCATCAAATTTTCTTGGCACCATTTTGTGATGGGTGAATTATTTTTAATCAAATTATTTTTCTATAATGTAATAAGTGGTCATTGTGACAAGGTTCATTAGATGCTACTTGTGATCAATCCATATAGAGGATTGATTTGGTATTTCAATCCCCTTAGAAGGCAATTGGATAACCAAAAACATATAATGATCATGTTCAATAAGAAAGTTAATTAATTTTTCTTTATGTGTGTAAATTATTATTTCTATTTTGTCTTTGATATAAAGTTTCATATTGGATTGTGGGGTTGTCCGCATGTTCCATAGCCAAAAAAAGTTGCCTCTCATCTATAATAATACTAAAAAATATGAGGATGCATTTGAATGGGATGATAATTAAGGTATACATTTACCCTAAATTTAAATATTTAATAAAGCTTAACTTATTATATTTTAACTATTTTTTTTTAATCAAAAGAGTCCACAACAATGTAACAAGACTATAAATTGTGGCTGAAAGACATAGTTGATCATGTGTCGAATGAAAGGATTTTGCTTGACCAAGTATGTCTTCCACCTCTACTATTTTAATTTTAATAATTGACATTATAACACACACATCATACACTTAAGCTTGTTTTTTGTTGTTATGTTTGGCTTAACAGTATTTTAAGGATGCATTTGTAGAGGAATATACTACATTGACATTGAAGAAGTCCTCAAAGAGCTGTCACATGATTTGTTCAAGCAATGAATGCAATATTCATGACTAGAAACTTGAATGATAACAACCATTACCTTGCTCAATCTTGATTCATTGTATAGGTTATTTATGTTCTTTATACTTTAGCCAATTTTAGTTTTACTTAGCAAATTTTTCCTTATAATTACTTTAGTGTACATGCATTTTTTTGACAATTTTGAAGTAATTTTATATAGATTATAGAAATCATTATAGGTTTGAATAATTTTAGTTTCAATCATATGTGAATTTTTGGTTGAAATTGAATCTCTATTACTGAATTGCAATTCTAGGAATATCTATATTATGTTTTGCAAGGAGCTGCTCAAAATGCAACCCATTTATTTAAAAATAGTTAAGGAAATATATAGTGGTTTTTTTGGTTATTTTGAAATAATTGCTATATAGTTTAATATATATAATGGTTATAACAAATAACTACCATATAGATAGAACTATATAGTGATTATTACAAAATGATTGCTATATAGGTCAATGAGCAACCTGTGAAAAATGACTAAAAATACACTTGATTAGTAGTTTTTATGTGATAACCGTTGAATTTAGAAAAACTATTTAATAGTTATTTTAAGAGAGTCACTATATAGTTGATTGAAATTTTCATTGGGTTCAAAACTGGAACAAATTATATATTGGCTTTTTTTTAAATAATTGTTATATAAAGCCAAACTACATAATGGTTAAATAACTATTATATAGCTTCTTCAAGATTATATAGTGCCTCAATATATAGTGATTTTTGACCGTTATGTATTGGTAAAAATAACTGCTATATAGATCACTTTTTAACTAGTGAAGTAAAACCTTCTCTAATTGTCAAGCAAAGGGTCCTTCGATATATATGGCACTGCAGCAAAAAATAACCGTTAAATATCTTATTTTTTGTAATAGTGTATACCTATTCTATTTTAGGAAACAATTTTCAATTGTTGTCAAATATGTATTACTTAAAGTAGAGATCAATAGCAACATATACAAGAACTGTTACCTAAGCCCACATTAGGCAATACTTGTAGAACTATTGCAAAGAAAAATGTTGCCAAAAGCAAAAAAAAATGTTGTATTGTAGTATATAGACGTTTGTTTTTTGTGTTTTATTCTTTTTTATTGTGGTTAATTAAACTTTGTTACATTATTTATGTCAATTAGGTTGATTATATAACCATGGTAGCTAGACCCTTATTAGTATATCTTTCTATTTGTTTTATTTTACCATGGTTCTTTTATTAATTTGTTTAAAACTTCTCTGTCATGGTAATTAATTACATTGATTTAATTTATCTTGTCATTATCATGGTAACGTTGATTAAATTATGGTTTGAAAAAGCATGTATTACATAAAACTTGTTCAAATCTCATCATAACGATGAGTTCGCTACAATAAAAACCAATACTGGACTGGATCTCACACGGCTTCCAAGGATGAGGTTTTGGTTTGCTTCAAATTCGTTTTAAAAAGAAAAAGCTATGGATATAAACCTTTATAAATGATAATATTATTTTTAAATTATATTTTGCATGGTTTAGTTGTTATGTACATTTTATATGTTTTTCTTTAAGGTTAAACTATTTTTAGTCCATCAAACATCTAAATAAGAAGGCATCTCTCCTTATCATGTATACATAGCAAAACTACCATTTTAAATTATAACATTTTAATTTCTTTTTTTTTATTCCACTTCTCATTTTTCAAAGCATCTTTGATTCATCAAAACAATCTTATCACTTATCAAAGATCAATCATCGTCCTAAGTGCATACATTAGAGTTCCATGAATAACCTCGCAACAAGAAACAAAAAGCAAGCTCATATTAACCAAACCCACCCAAGAACCGACCCACCCACCAACCCGAACCCGAGAAAAACGATCATCACAATGGCGCTTAACTCAGATTCCGATGGCTGCACCACAGACTTTGGTGCGACAATCATAAGGCAACTTGTCAAAAATCCATTGGTCAGCCCAAGCACAAATGTCAGAACCACAATTGGTCCCTCTGATTTAAGCCACTTCGGTCCATGAAGACAAACTATGAACAGAGGATAGAACAAGAACCTAGAAATGCAAGCCCACGTTGCCGTTTTGATTGATTTCACAATATAAAACGCAGTCAAACACTTCCCCATAAGATCTGCTATATTATAAACTGATATAAGCAAAATAGGGTACCAATCCTTGAATAGCTCGGACACAAGATCTTCTGCAATGAATCCAGGGAAGATGGAGAGAGTCACTACATAGATTATGAAGATTCCGAAAGCATGACACCTGATCTTCGCCGCGATGGCCCAGAACCTCGGCGCTGAAGAACACAGCGAGTTCCCAACGATGACGATGTCCGGAATGCCGTGGTGGAGATAGTATTGTTGCATGACCGGTAACTTGAACTGCAAGTTGCAGAAGATGATGCAACAGAGGAGGAAGATGGTGGCGGCGATGAAGTACAAGTGGGCACTTGTTTGGAGGCCTTTGGGTGTTTGAGGGAGGGAGGCCTTTGTTATGATCCTCAAGATTGAAATTATAATGCCTGCAATGGCAAGAAAAGATATGCTTTATAAAAAATGACAATTAAAAACCTCATGAAATCATTAATTATAATTAAAAATTTTAAATTATTAAAATCCCAATAATAAACCATGATCTTATTTAGAATTAAAAATATGTGAGTTTGCAAAATTATCTTTGGGTACTGAAATTATTATTATGGGTGGGACTGTTATTAATCTCAACTGAAAAAATCAAGATTTATATTTAGAAATGAGATTAAGAATACTCTCAACTCATCATAATAGTAATTTCAATAATCCCAACCCATAATATTTGGGATCTTAGTTTTTTTTTTTGATTGAAATTAACACTAATCCTCACTCATGATAGTAATTTCAGTAATATCTTTTCTTAATTTTCTAACTAGTTTACCAATATATTGACAAGCATAAAAATTCACAAGTAATTAGTTTCACATTTAGAAGTGACTTTTGTAAATTAATTTTTAAATGAGTGTCATATATTCATATGTACCTTTCAAAAGTCTCATAAGTGGCCTTTAGTTTCATACTGAGAAAAAACTCATTTTTAATTGTGGATTTTGATTTTTTCAATTAAGATTAATAATAGTTTCAATTCATTATAGTAAATTCAATAGTGCCTTTTTTCATTTTTCAAGTGAGGGTAATTTTATAAACTCATATATATTTGTAATTACAAATAAGGACCATGGTCCATTATATTATTAGGATTTCAATAAATCAAGATCCCTAATTATAATTAATAATTTTATGGATCCTTAACTGTCATTTTTCCTATGTTTTATTTCTTTCCTCTTATACTAAAAGGTGTTTTATTTTGCAAGTACCAAACCTTAAGTCTCTCAAATTTGATCTAATAATTGATTTAGTGTTTTAAGTTTAATTTTTGTTACTGTGATCCCTTGTATTTTTTAAAATTATCATATTAGTCCTTTAAGTTTTAAAAACACTAATTGACTCTCAAATTAATTAATCTTATGTGTAAAGTATATTGATAAATTAGCTTTTAAATCAGTTTAATTTTTATTATTATCATTACATCCATTTTGTTATTTTGTATTTTAAAATTTATGAGTCTATTTTTCCTTTACCTAAATAATTATATATTTTAATCTACGTGTCTACCATCAATATTCTATTGTTTATATTAGTATATTTTAATAGTATTATCTTGTATTTAAATAATAAGAATCAAATTAATAATTAAAATAAATTTAAAAAATTAAATTAGTAAAAAATAAATTTAAAATAACATATTAATAATTAAAGCAAATTTGACGAATTAAAATTTTTATTTATTTATTTATTTTGTGGGGCTAAAGTTTGAAACTGATTGCAGCAATATATGGTCAATTAAGTAATAAGAGACACGACTTTAGTTAAATCACGTGACTGTTCATTCTTCGTGGACACAATGATATTTTTTTGTTGGTGACACAGTGAAAATATTTTGGAGAAAAACACGTGAATAACTGAAGGATAAAAAAAAAACATGGTCTTATTTTATATTTTTTTTTTGGAGGTTTTCCAAATGTCATTCTCTTATATATTTGCTGGGACTAAATTATTGATCGGTAATTGGGTGGAGTGATAAATATGACACAGACATTTAATTTATTTTCAGAATTAAATATGTAGTTTTTTAAGACTAAAAAACAAATTACAAAGTCATTTTATACATTAAAATAAAATCAATGTTTACAGTTTCATTATTAACATGTATTATTACAATCTTTTGGAAAATTTTAAGTTAATATAAAATATAAAATATAAAAAAAATGAAAGAAGTTAAATATCACTCGTAAGATGCATACTTTTTTATCATCTTGGGATTTTGTCTAAATGCATTGAGTTAACTCTAATTTTACTGTCACAATAAAAAAATCACAGTTTTTTTTATCAGGCAAAAAAAAAAACCTATTTTACTAAAGGTTAAAAGAAAACCTCATAAGTGTTATTAAAAAAAACCCTGATAAGATGTATACCGAGAATATATAATTAATTTCAGTAAAATTTTAAAAAATCAACGAAATTCAATTTTTAAATTATTCAGAATTGGCTTCGTATCTTCCTCCGTTATATATCCAGCGGAGAAAGACAGATCTTCCTGTTCAGAATAGAAAGACCACAAAAAGAAAAAAAAACCAAAAGAAAAGAAGAAGACTTTAAAGGCTTTTTTACTTCTGTTTTTTAAAACAAAAAAAAAAAAATAAAGAAAATTCATTAATTTGAGTAATTGCTTTAGATTTAAATATTTCCAAAACTATTCTCACTTATTGCTTTTAAAAATAAAAATGAAGATATTCTACTCTTTTTTATTTTTAAAGCACATTACATTTGAATATTTGAAAGTGGTGAGTGATGACCAGCAACTATCATATATTACTATATCATTAACTACTAATCACCATTTTTTAAATTTTAAAAATATTTTTCAATTGATATAATTAAAAGTATTTTTTATTGTTTTGTTGAAAAAATTAGTTTTAAAAACTATATTACCAAATAATATTAAAAAAAAAAAAAGGAACACACTCAAACAGCACTTGAATTTGTGAAGCTACACTTACCTGAGGAAGCAGTTCCAGCAAAAACCGCTTGCATATACTGTTTTGGCAGCTTGCCAGCCGAACCTACCAAACTCCCCCCGACCAATCCATCGGCTATCCCACAAATGATCACCGCCGTGACAGTTAGGCCGTACGCCCCGCTCGGCCTTGAGCCGCCGCCGCCATCGCCACCACGGCTGCAGCAGCCAGCCGCAGAAGCCCAGTCAATTACAGGTGGCACCATGAGAGAGAAGACAAACAACGAGAACCCCAAGTTCATCCTCAACCTTAAGCTTATCTTACTCCAAGCTCTCGGCCAGCTCATCATCACGAAAAGAACCAGCACAGACGATGTCATGTAAGCCACAGAGAAAACCTTCTCCGTGTGCTTCTTCGGATAGAGGTAGCTGAAGTAATCGACGGCGGTGATGAGCGCATTCCAGGGGAGCAAGTTTCCGGCCCCGAGGAAGAAGTGAATGATGTAAGCGAATCTGTAAGGGTCTTGAACGACAGCGTCGTTTTGACAATGATCAGACGATGACGACGATTTTTTCATTGGAAGTTCCATCTTGTGCTGCATCGATATTAACTAGTTGGAGACTATTTGAGAAATTGCATGTGACATTATGAGAGAGACAAGTTGGTTGACATCTGAGATTAAAAGAGGAGGTCGTATATATGCGAATGATCTTGGGGTTGGAGATGGAGAATAGTGACTGTGGGGCCAGCAATGGATGGGTGATATTAGATATACCCTTTGGGATAGTACACTTACACATGGGTTAAGCTTAGCTGTCTCATCCGCCTTACCGTATATTTGGCGCATTACCCTGGGCTGATGAGTTTGCCTTGTAAAAAAAAAAAAAAAAATTTAAGTGAGTTAGATCTAGAGATTTGTCAGGATTAAGATATATCTTTAAATTTAAAGAATATTTATAAAAGTTTTTATAAATTTTCTATTGATAAAATTTGAATTAAGTCCTTATAAATTATGAATCATATCCTTGTCAACTGAGTCTCGACTTTGTAAGTTATCAATTAAGTTTTTACTAACCACACTAACCTTTAATTATAATGGGTTCACCTTTTACACAGCGAATGATGAATTAGTGCATTTGTCTCTCTTGGCAGAAAGAAAAAGTGGGATTTATTTTGGGAAAATTATGATTACATCCCCACAAGACAATTACAGTACTAAACATCACAAGGTGCATTAATAGTTAATGTTGTGGCATTTAATTATCAATAGAACTTATGGTATTTATTAGTTGTATAGGAGTCTTTTGCTATACTTAATTACTAATGGATATTATATTATTTAATTGTGTTATGGGGGACTTGGATGTATTTCTTTTCTTTAAGTTTTAAGAATGTGTAATAAAATATAGAATATTTTAATCTAATCTATAAATAATAATACAAATGTAATTTTTAATAAAAAAACTCAAATAAATTTATTGGGTAAAAGAATAAATCGACCTGTAAACTATAAGTCTAAGAATGTGTTGAACCTTAAACTCATTTTTAATGTAATGTTCCTTTTCAATTTTTTAAAAACAGTACAATATAGCCCCTACTACTAATAAAAATTATCTTCAACCATTAGTTAACATGAAAATAATAGCAAAGGACCTAAAAAATATGAAAAAAAGACCAATAAAATTATCTTGGCCCTTTTCTATAATTTTTTAGGTCCTTGTTTGTAATTCCTGTTTCCTTTAATTTCTAAGTCCTTTTTTATAATTTTTAGGTCCTTTTTTGTATTGTAGTTTGGTAAGTCTTTTTAATTATTATATATTATAATTGATAAATTAAGTTATATATATATATATATATATTTTACTAGTCCTAAAGTATATTTGAGACATTTAATATTAAAATATAAGCTTATTTAAAAGACTTACTTTTAAGTAGGCTTTTAAATAAGTTTTTAGGTCAGATTAGGTTTTAGATAGGCTCAGACTTGAGCCATGAGAAAAGCCTTATGCAGGCTTTAAGTCAGGCTCGGGCTTTTGATTTACCACACAAGTTTAGGTATATTTGTCTAAAGCGTAACTTGGCTTACCCTATTTCCACACCTACTCCTTATACAATATTGATATAATTAAATAGAAATAAAATATATATTGTATTGGTTTATTAAATGTTTATGTTATTGATGATTAATAACTTAATATTAATAAAAAGAGAGTAATATTTAATAATTATATAATATGTATTAATTATTTTTATTTAATTTTCTCATTATTTTTTTAACAAAAAAATTATATACATTTGATTGTCTAACTTTATGTTTTATTTTAGTGAAAATATAACTTTTAACTCTTCAACTTTTTGGGAGAATATCTTAGCCCTTATGATTATTGTAAGGCCCAAATGATTTTGAAGCTTTTCTATAAGCCCGAGGTCCCTAATTTAAATTGATTTTCCTGGTTCAATTATTAAAATGCCCTTGCTTTATTGAAAAAAAAAAAACTACCATTGTAGGCATTATCATCATTAGTACAAAATATAATTTTAACTATATATTTTTTGTCACCATTTCTCTAAAAATTGTGGTAATATAAGATTTAGTGACAAATATATAAATAAGTTAAAAAATGTGGCATTTGTAGCAATAGAGCTAAAAAAAAACTGTCACCGTAAATGTTTGTATGAAGCATTATATGAAATTAAACAAATTAATTAATTTAAATAAATTATTAATTTAAGTCTTATTTGTGTCTGATTCATACACATTAAATTGTTTGGAATCAGACACATTTATGATGGCAAGTACACCAAAGGCCTATTGCCATAAGTCACATGTTTAAAATTTCATATATTAAATGTCATTTAATAAATTTATTAATTAAATTAAAATATAAATTATATTATTAATTGTGTTTATTAATTATGTATGAAATCAAACACATTTATGGTGACATAAATGAATTTCAATAAATTAATTAATCTAGACATATCAATAGTGATCGATCCTTAAAAATGGATCGACGGGGTTTGAACTCATAATCTTTTGGCTCTCCAACCCATAGAAGACTACTAAACCAATTAAACCTTTAAGTTATATAGTGCAAAATAATATACTCACACATAATAAGTTTTGTTTTAGAGCGTTTACATGGGTTACCATTAATTCTAAACATGATGTTGCAAATATCTAAATAGTAACTTGTCAATATTTTGAATATGACTTGTTAATATTCAAGAAACTAGTTCTCAACTTCTAAAGACCAACTTGTCATATTTTTTTTAACTTATTCCTTGAATATTGTCAAGTTATCAATATTATGTTGTATAAAATAATATGTATGTTATAAATTTAGTTTCCAAACATTTATATGAATCGCTGTTAATTTTGAATAAGTTGTTTTAATATATAAGCAATAATTTATTAATATTTAAACATGACTTAACTTATTAATATTCAAGAAACAAGTTATCAATTAATTAAGCTGGTCACCAAACAAGGGGAGTAAATTAGGCATTCTATAAATTTTCAAAAACTTTTCCCAACCAGAAAATAGAGTTTTGTATCAAAACAAAGTTTAAATAATGAGCTTTATAAAACATATGAAGTTTATAAAATGAGAAGCTTGACACAAAAGATTTACACTGATTCAACCTAACCATTTAGTGTACATCCAGTCTTTGAGAACAAACTTGAGAGTTTTTACCAAAAACATAAACTTGAAAAGGTGTTTGCAACTATAGTATAAACACAAGACTTTACAAGTCTTGATTTTAATTTATAATCACTTTGCAGACCATGTAAGCTATTAAACACATAGGAAAAACCTTTTCTAAGATTTCAAAATATGAAATAAGTTTTCTAAAACACAAACTTTCAAAAATAGTATACTAGAATATAGTAAAAGCTTATAAACTTAAAAAACAAAGAGCTTTTAAAAAATATAAATGCAGTAGGTAAAATAATGAATGCAATCAGTTAATCTTTTAACAATTTACTTAAATGAGACTTTATTTATAATGTAAGGAAGATTATATCAGCTAGGCATTTATATCCGTTTCATTGTTGTTTGTACATGAGGAAATTCACCAAAAGAACTTTTTATATGAAACTCATTAAATGCTTGTGAGAACTCTAAAACATGTGTGTTTTAGGTTCACCCAGGATGAGTAGTGCATAAAGGCTTCAATGACACTTAGACTAGAACATGCGAGGATTCTATTTGGAGCTTGGGTGTTTTAAGATGCAAAAGCATAAGCTTCTTTGGAATGCTAGAACACACAAGGGTCCATACTAGAACATGTGAGTATAAGATACAAGAAGTGAATGACTTCTTAAACACATTGAAAAATGAATGGATATGATCTAGAACTGGTGAGTTTGGGTTTGACAAATTTTGAACACTTAGAGTGAAATGGTTTGGCTTAGAAGTTCAAGGCTTAGACTTAGGTAAAACTTAAGTAGCAAACTAAAACTTATGATAGTCAGACTAGAACACATGAGGATAAAAGAAAGATTTAGGCACTCAAGTTGTGAAATGGACTCAAAACATGTGATGATGGTATAACACTACTTAAAAATAGCATTTATAAAGTGGTTATTTTTGTCAATATATACTAGTTTTTTATCACTACACATTCAGGCTATATAATATAGAAGAAACTATATAGTGGCATTTAGCCAATATCGTTAGAGTCTATTTTATGGTTATTTACAAACAATTAACTATTATATAGATTGTTTCAGTGCTTAGTCCTAGATACTTTTCAATAAAATATATAATAGTTTTCTATAAATAACCGTTATATAGTCTCCTCACATATAATAGTTATTTTGAAGAAGCCATTAGATAATTAGGCTCATGATTGGTCATTTTTTACATGTTGCCTAGCCAACTATATAGTCGTTATTTGCAAATAACTGCTATACAGTTTTGCCTCTATTTTTTTTTTAAAAAATAAGGGTTTACATTTCTAGCAACCCCTGTGCAATTTCAAAACAAACCAAATGCATTGATTAATATTATTCAAAATCCAACTTTATTTCCCTATAATAGCTTCTAAAATCTATTTAAAAAGTACTTCAAATTTGTCAAAAAATGCATATACACTAAAGTAATTACAAGAAAAAAAATTTCTAAGTAAAATATATTGCAAGCTAAAATTGACCGAAGTTAACCAAAAAACTAAAATTGGCCAAAGTAAGTATATTTTGCCTAAGTATAAAGAATATATATAAAGAATCAAAATTGAGCAAGATAATGGTTGTGATCATTCATCTTCTATGTATATTTTACCCATTGCTTGAATAAATCCTGGGACAACTCTTTCAAAACTTTTTCTATGTCAGTTGCAGTATATTCCTCTACAAATACATCCTCAAAGTACTGTTAATTAAGCTAAACATAATAAAAATCAAGCTTAAGTATGTGATGTGTGCAGTATAATATAAATTATTAAAATTAATAAAATAGAGATAGAAAACATACTTGATTAGGCAAAATCCTATCATTTGGTGCATGACTAACTATGTCTTTCATGTACCTCATGATGCTGCAGTCACAATTCTTAGTCTTGTTATATTGTTGTAGACTCTTTTGATCAAACAAAAAAATTAGTTAAAATATAATAAATAATAAACTAAATTTGATGAAATAAATTTAG